GCAGGGGTCGAGTGAAATACATGTACCAGGGAGATAGCAGATGGATTCTACGGGGCAAGAGGGAGACTTTAAAAGAACCCAGGCAAGGACTACGTAACAATATGACACATTCTGGTCAACATTCCCAGCACAAGGGTCAAGGGGTTATAACGACTTGTGGAGTGTGAAAGGGTTTTCATGAATTCCGCTCAAAGAAGCACGGTAAAAATTGTGACAAGGAGGATATAGGAAATGTGAATAGGCCAGGGGAGAAGGCGAGATAGCACAACTGTTTAGCACACGTTTGGTCAAAGGATGGGCTTCATTTGTCCATTTGACAAGTTGTAAGATGGTGCTACGAATGACGAGACTCACTGACGATGCCGACTACAATGCCGGCGAAACGTCTGGAATGTACCACGTCCACGGTGCTACTCTGGAAATGATCATGCATACAATGGATATTTAATGTTGTAATTCGTCATATACCTTGATGTAGACAGTGAAAATATTTTCGCATTGGTCTCAATAATCAGACATCTGCAGTTCTATATAATGGACCTACTTCATTTACGTTTTTTTACTAAAATGCACCTATCCTTTCTGGTATTTTGGAATCCTCGTATAATTTATGCTCATCAGGTAACTTTTATTCATACATCTCGCTTGCCTGTTTCTCATAATCAGATCTTTGGAGTTTCGAACCCTGGGCTTTTGGATTCATAGTTGAATACGCTGCCCATTCAGCCAAATGATTCTAGATCTGTCCGGCTCTAAGGAAGTCAATAACTTCACCAAATGGTATGTCCCTCTATATTCATCAATTTAGTTGTACTCACTAAGTTTAAAAAATGTATTAATCTTTTTATTGGATACACTGGCTAAGTGCTGCCTCGGGTATATATGGTTGTGCAAAGAGTGATAATTAAATATTCCACAATTAAGTGAATAGGCCTGACGATGCGATTGAATCTGCTAAACGTCCCTATTCGATAAATGAGATGTGTGACATTTTCCTTATTGATTATTTATTAAATTACAAGATACTACTGAAAGTAGTAGGAGTTATCTAGCAGGATTTAGTCATTCATCGTTAAAAAAGCAATAATCCATTTCCTGTTCGGCTAGTTATTACCAAACGATCCTTCACACCTACCCATGTGATGACGCCGAAGAAAAGGAATGCCAGTGCAGTAGTAACACCGCTTCTGTCTACATCTCGTGTGCGGATGAGCTGCAGGGATATCTCGACTGTGGTCATCCAGTTGTTGGTCAGATAGCAGAAACCCACAAACCAAAGCGCCATGCAGACGACTGTGAAAATGACCAAAGGGGAAATACGTTTTAGCGGGGAAAAGTGAAAATAATTAGAATCCCTTCTTATGTATCTAGGCAGATTATTAACAATGCTGACAGAGCCGTGGGGACTTGTAACACGGCAAGCTGAGGAAACCTGACTCTGTTTGGAAGTTACCCATTTTTCTGTTACCATCCGCACTAGCAGGAGACGAAGTTTCAGATGTCAGGAGATGACAGACAAAGGCCATCAAGGCATAACAGTCATGCTGTGCTAAAGGCAGCAACGAACTGTTGATGCCTCGACAACACGTCAGGTCATGCCATGTCATTTGGGCTGCTTGCAAAGATGGCGTCTGGTAGAATGGTCAACACGCCGGTCTCGAGATGCCTTGATCGTATGTGCACATCTCGGCAGACTTAGAAAGTATGTAAGTAGGGTTTCGAGACTACCAGTAAATCAGTGTTATA